CACACTGAAAGCATTATTTTTTAACATTGCAAAGCAAAGAACAATTAGCATCATATTTCAATGCGTATTACAAAGCTTTGTAACTGGAAAACATTCATAATCAAATCATATCTCTGTTTAATAATAAAACAAAAGTTTGGTTAGAATCGTCCTTTTTCCATCCAACTTTAACCTTTTATTGAGACGGAAAGATTCAAAATAAACGTCTCCGTTTAAGAGCCTCTTGCGCAGCCAACGACGGTTCAAAACCACCATCAATCGGCTTCAACCATCCATGAATGAAGAGGTATTCCAACGAACAGGATCAGTTTCATCCCCTTCACATCTTATTCTGCCATAACGAAGAGGTATTCTTACACTAACTTCAACAAATTGAGAAGCTTTACTCTTACAATATACTTACTTGACTATGGCCGTTATATTTCAGATTTTCACTTTTACTTGTCAACATGCTCTGCTCCAGTTGTAACCTTCTGCAATATGAAATATGATCCCCTACAAACATAGCAATCTATTGTTGTCTTCGTAGTTGTAACTATTTATAGTGTATAATGATCTCTATTTATACAATTGCAGATGCCTCTCCAAAAGTTCGTGAGTTTATTATTAAACCGCTATAATCCGCTGGCGAAGTATTACTTCAGACTTCATGATCATGAATGGAAAATGTATAAATTTAACTGCAATAGATAATCTTAATTATGGATGTGGTTTGATTGGAGTAACACTTTTCCAGACAATTAGATGTTCTTATTGTTTTGTTGGTATATTGCTCGTATTGGATAGATTTTGGAATAATTGAAACACTTGAATCTGTTGATTCTGGAATAATTCAACATAACATGGTCTTAAACAATTTTAGAGCTATATGTTGATTCCTTTTTTATATTGCTTTTCATTTGACACTTTAGTCTTCTGTTTGTATTGAAATATGATGCTAATTGTTCTTTGCTTTGCAATGTTAAAAAATAATACTTTCAGTAGTTAGCACACTGAAGTCTCTTGCTTATGATATTTCAGAGTAGCAGGCTAATATTCAAATGGCATCTCAAGATCATCACCACCATGACCATAGCCATCATCATCCCTATGGCCATGAGGATTCAGGAGCAACAATATGGGTTGGGCCAGATGGGAAGGTATACCACAGCCATGATGGACTTGCACCGCATTGAATGAGAAATTTTTAACGGAGACGTTTATTTTGAATCTTTCCGTCTCAATAAAAGGTTAAAGTTGGATGGAAAAAGGACGATTCTAACCAAACTTTTGTTTTATTATTAAACAGAGATATGATTTGATTATGAATGTTTTCCAGTTACAAAGCTTTGTAATACGCATTGGGCGGCATTTGTATCATGTTTACTTCTAATGTATACCGTATACGTGCAGGAAGTATGCATAGCACGGTGAGTAATACGATTATCAATGGGCAGCAAGCATACGTATGATTCCAATTCACGAGCTACCAGTTTCATGACCGACTCCAAAGACTCGCCGTTTCTCCGGTATGTTGCAGAACATATATTACTCCCAAGTATGAATTTCAGGTTTTCAAAACTTTTTTTATTCAGGCATATGACTATTTTACTCCGTATATAAATTTCTTACGTACTTCTCTTCGATACTCCGTATAATTTTTACCTTAGTTTATCATTGTATCAATTTTACTCCGTATTTGTTCCGGAGTAATATATCAGCAAAATTTATTTTATCCTATCATAAAATAATATTTATGATGAGACGTTGATAGTATAAAAACATATACTTTCAGTTGTTATGTTTATTTCAATGTGTTCGTATATATGGATATGAATAATACTTCTAATGACCTAAACTTCTTTATAAATAATTACTCCCTCCGGTCCTTATTAAAGTTCTCACTTTCCTTTTAGGGATGTCCCTTATTTAAGTTCACACTTCCATTTTAGGAAACAAAGCAATGCAAAACAGTGTCAAACAGTGTTCAAACAGTGCCAAACAGTGCACTCCACAATAAAGTCAAATTTCTTTTCTTAATATGTGTGAAGTCAAACTAGGAACTTTAATAAGGACCGGAGGGAGTACTTGATTAGCAAATTTAATATTTTTAATATTCATCAATACCGGCACTCCTTATATATAAATCTTATAATCATTAGTTTATATTTAGAGTATTAATATTGTACCATACCTCAGACTCCTTTTCATTATTTGTTAAACATGGCCGCGATAGTCATTGCATTGGCCCTCTTTATTATACTAATTGTTCTGTTGATTTTCATCTCCAATTGCTTATTACCATAGATAGAACCTATAAACATTACATTTTGGAAGAAGGGTAATAGTCTTGAGTATTCAGCACTTTTTCTGGTGCATACATAGTAAATGGAAATTCACTGGATAGACTGATAGAATTTTTCTTTTTTCATTCACGAAACTATCAATTCACGATGCTTTCATTTCTTGATCAATTTACTTTCATGGTCGTGGATTGAAGTCCTAAAATGGTCCTAACCAGTTAAGTACGTGATGGGCCGGTCCGGGCCCAATTACTAGGTGGGTGGCAGGGTGGGGATGGTGTTTTTTTGCCCGGCCCGGCAAATGGGAAATTATTCAATTCTTTAGTTATGTTTTAAACAAGTCGATCAGATCACACTAGAACACTACAGTCCAATTAAAAATACCCTCATTATATTACAATACTTTGTCTGGAAGTGATAACATATTATTAATTGTTTTTATCCATATTTATTCATTACTATTTAAGATAACATTTGTTGGTGATAATATTCAGATTTTTTAAATTGAAATTAGAAGTAAAAAAAATAACGGACGATCAATGGTTGACATCACTGAAGAATTTATTACACCTATGACAGATGATTCTATCGAAGCTATTGTTAAGATCACCTATCTCGATTTTGAAATACCCTAATGACATTTCTTATTTGAATTCCAGGAAGGTCTGATCTAGCGCCAATCATTGATGAACGCGACAAGATCAACTATTACATGTTGGATTGTTGGGGTTGACTCCTTACATGTTGGGGTTGACTCCTGGTGAGATTAAGACACACTTAAGTTTGGACTTGATATCTTCTTTTAATTTAAACGGTGCACATCTATTCTCCAAAATTTCTCAAGAGCACTAAATGTTATGTTATGCCAAGACACGAGCTAAAACTTAAATTGGGGTGCTGCTAATGAGGAATACAAATCTTTCCTCCGAATATGTGATGATGACTGAAAACCCGCCACCAAGACTTCAAATGTTGTTTACAAGAGTATATATATAATAATTTTTAATGTTTAATCTTCATTTACTTTTGTTGAAAATAATATATGTATTGATCTATCTCAATCACAGTATCTTTATATATTCCGAATATGTATTGCTTACTAACTACATCACGTGCGAAGCACGGGTGAAAATCTAGTTAATTAAGAGTCGAGTACATACTCGTATGAAATCTCACCGTATTACATTATATCGGTTGATTTCTTTCAAGAGGTCTGCTTATTTGGTACACTTTTTGAGTTCCGACTGTTCGGCCATTGACTTATTGACCATTTTTACACTTTTACAAAATTAAAGTATTTAACACATTCTTTTATTGATTATACCCGACCGGGTACCGACAATACTCAACCGGGTATAAAAGGAAAACCGCCACTGTTAGCCAATACTCATTCGGATTTCAATGAGATAAAATGTAGTCAAAATAGAACTGTGAATAATGTAATTAAAATTTAGCATATTGCATTTATTTAAAAACGAATGTAGTATTACAAAAAAAACCTAAATACCACTAATTGAATGCGTTATCATGAGGCAACATATACGGTCGGTAACTCGGTATTGATAGAGATAGAAATATTTCCCCCGTTCTTTAATTCTTGCAACATTGTGATTTTTGCACTATTCACAGACCTTAGGATGTTTTCTTTTGGACTGTTTTCAGTCCCAGACCAGATTTAAAAAGACCAGACCAGACTTAAACAGACCAGATCAAACCAGACCAGACTTAAACAGACCAGATCAGACCAGACTTGGATAGTTATAAAATACACAGAGACCAGACATTTACTAGACCAGACCAGACCAGACCAGACTTAAACAGACCAGATCAGACCAGACCGGAAAATTTCAGTCCAAAAGAAAACATCCTTACTTGGACCACAAAGTACTAATATACATAATCAAATATTACGTATAAAATGTTATTGAATTCCTATCAATGTGAATTTCCAAAATATCAACTTTTTATATTGTTTATTAATACATAATTAAATATAATTACAGTCAAAGTTGTGCATTGGCAAACGTGAAAGTCAAAATTGCAAGTATAAGGAAATTTTCGTTGACATGATAAGAACTTGTTTGTTTAACACGTACTCCATAGTATACCTAAGATATGTTTTTCGTATTCAAAGTCTGCAATTAGTTTTGGAATATATTATAATTTACATATATGGTCGATCGGTTGTTTATAAACTCTATGGGGTTGTTTGGCAATCGGCTGTTAGTTTTAGCTGTTAGCTCGTTATGTCAGCTGTTTGATCACAGCTGGTTGTGTTGGCTGTTTTGATTGGCTGATTATGTTAGCTTGTTGTTAACAAATGTTTGGTAAAACTAGCTGTTATAAAACAGCTGTTTGAATGTAAAATGACGTATAAGGACATGGGTGTATATATAATATTTGAGTAATGCTAATAGTAAGAATGTTAAAACTATAAATTATTTGCAAAATAAATTATTTAAGAAAAACAATATTTAATTTAAAATTTTAAAAGAATAAATTAAATTTTAAATACAAGCATAATAAATCTTAACCAATAAATATTTTAAAATGAAGTAAGATGACTCTGTATTGCAAAAAAACATCAATAGTGTCAATTACGAAAATGAATAATCACGCGTCTCAAACAGTTCATTAATACTACGGAGTAATAAAAAGTAAAACCACGTCTCAAACATTTTACATACTTAGTTTATCTTAAAATAAAGTAATGATGGTAAGAATTATTTATGAATGCGTCTAGCTTCCATCAAGCTAGAAGTTATATTATTACGAATAACTCTCATTTCTTGACTTCGAATGTTTGCATTATCTTGTGTAACACCCCCTTCAACATCTTCAAATACATCCGGAGGTATGAATTCAGGATCCTCATCAATAAATTTAAAGCCTGGATCTACTATTGTGCTTCTCCTGATGTAGTTGTGCAATGCAAAACATGAACAAATTATCTTGTTTTGATCCATTAGTGAATATCTTGGCATTTTTTGCAATATCTTCCATCTACCTTTAAGAACACCAAAAGCTCTCTCGATACAACTTCTTAAAGAGGAATGTGCTCTATTAAAAATCTCTTGAACTCCTCTCGGATTTGCACCACGGAACTCTGACTGATGGTACCTCGTCTTGGGGTAGGGAGTTAAATATCCATCTCTTTCAGGATAACCTTTATCCACCAAATAATACTTTCCTACAATTATAGAAATTAAGGTATGAAGATTGCACATAATGTGAATGACTTCGTTGAAAAGCAAAACAAAAGTATGGAATTACCTCTTGGTGGCTTCGGAAATTTTAAAGTTGGATTGTTGATTGCATCTAAGAAAATGCGTGAATCATGAGCTGACCCCTCCCAACCTGTTAATACATATGTGAATAATGTTGAATTATGTAACTTGCAGAGTTACAAAACCCAATAGTTAGGATTTAGGAATCCTATGAACTATAGTTTATTAAATGAATACTAAAAGTCTAGAATGTCATAGTTCAATGTGTAACCAATTGAAAGAAGAAGCTAACCACTTAGGAATCCTACTAACTCTAGTTACTGCATATGTTCTAAGTTTATCCCATAACTTAGAATCAGATAAGCAAAGATATGTAAACTCAGATATGTAAACTCTAGGAAACCTAGAGTTTTTTTTATTTTATTTTTCGTCCCAAGTTAATTTTTTAGGAAATTTATTTGTTTTTGGTGTCATAATGATGATGAAATTTAAGGAAATCCAATTCCACTTAATGCAATGGATACTTCATACGTTAGTTATGAATGTAACTCTTAATTTGAAATTAAATGGAACATTATGCTTTGAATTTACATGATTCCATATGCTTCATCTTCGTCTCTATTGGTTTCTACAAATGCAATAGAGAGTTTTGGATTTGGCTTTGTTTTGGCTGACCATATTTCTTTTTGCTTTTTAGTTCGATGGTTTAACTAATGTGTCTACTTCATTTAATGTTCATAATCTCATATAAAAACCAATTTAAAAGAAAATGGGCTGTACTGAGTAGAAAGACTAGTTGGACTAGTTGCTGACTTGCTGGTGTATGGGTTATGAGTTTTCTTCATATCTGATATGGGTCCTGAGTTTACATAATCCACTCTGCAGTTCTAAGTAGAATTAATCCTCCTGAACACCTAGGAAACCTAGATAGACATATTTAAAAGTGGAGAACATAAAGACACAGATAAGTGAAGACTGTTACATTAGGAAAGGGAAATCAAAGGATAACGTTTTGAGATGATGTCTCTTATTAGAAGGTAAATGCTAATAAAATGGCATTAACGTATAGTAGTTGGATCCCATATTTAAAATTAAATTTCAGCTTTCCATTGTGAACATTCATCAAATGATAAACATTTATCAAATCTTGAAAATACAATTGCAATGTAAAATAAATAATCTTAATACTTGAAAGAAAAAACTCACAAGCAGCCCTGTGAGTATAAAAGTGCAGCACATGCAACCAAACAACAAACTAATTCCTCACAAGCATTTTAACAAACACCTTTTGGACAAGTAGGAAATCAGAAACATATAATGAAATCCATAAGCACCAAGCTGCCCAATATTCACAACAATATACATTTGCAAAGTTAGCTCACTCAAACATCAATACCCAACAGAAATCACCAACATATCAAGCTTAAAAATCATAATCAATTCACAATACACAATCTCGAAAAGACTTATTTTGTTCAAATAAAGTTTGAATATATATGAGTAGACCTCACACATATACAACCTGCCACAAAAGTAAAGAAAAAAAACAGAGAGAGGGAAGGTCGACAAGGTGAACGGCCGTAGATCAGTCGCCGTAGAATTGATAACATTGCCGGAGAAGAAGGAAAAATGGAAAATACAAAGTAATGGGATAAAATTAGAAGAGGAAAAATCAAGAAAGAAGTAAAGTACCTTTGATTGTAGTTGGCAGGGAAGAAGAACGATGGCTGAGGAAAAAATGGAGATGCCGATGTTCTAAAGTCGGTATCAGTACGAGGGTATGAAGGGGAAAATAAATCGGATAAGCCAAAATATGACCTAAAACGCTGCCCAGGCCAGCTTTTCAAAAATCGGATTCTTTGTCCGGATAAGCCGAATGAATAAGCTGATTACCAAACAAGATTTTTGACATTTTAATCCAGTCAAACAGATTTTTTGAGTCAAACAAGCTAAAAAACAGCTTATAAGCTGTTTACCAAACAACCCCTATATACATATTTAAAGTCACTGCACCACGTCACAACCTGGTAAGCATGTCACTTAATAAAATTTTATATGACAATTTATTTCAATCAAATTGAGTACAACCCAAATCATTACTCAGGCTGAATGATGTTTATTTTCAGATGCATGCATAACCACACACACTCACGCCCAAAATGAAAGTCATCTCCTCTAGCTCGATTAAGCCAAAGTAAAGTGCCATACATCTCTTGTAGTCTTGTCTCTCCTCCGAACTCCTGGAGTACAGTAAAAGGTTATATAGTTAAATTAAAGGAGTAACGAGCATTAGAGTGAGCATAACCAAATTTGAAAATTACTACGTAGATTAAAGCAAGGGTTATAATCCGTCAATATATATAGCTCAAATTTGTAGGTTTATAAACTCCACAATCTATTTTTCAAAAGACACCAAGTAGACTCAAAAAAACTCTACAATGAGAATCTAATGTCCGGCCAACTACTGTAAGACATATTTCTTTAGATCCCCTAATATTTTTTCACTCTGCTGGATTAATATATTTTTACACTCTCGCTGTTCTGTTATCGGCTTATGTAGAAGAGCTCGTTTTATCTTAGAGAAAGGTTTTCGGTAGTCGGAAATACTTTCTTGAGGACTACGTTTACATGAATCGAGCTATATTACTTTATCAACAATTTTTTGTAGGTTTATTCGGCCAATTTTCACCAACAATATGGAGCTGGTAGATAATAATGTTGTTTATTATGGAGCTCGGAGTCTCGCATTTGTTACAAAAATGTGCAACTATATTCAGGAGCGTATCTACTGTGGGGGCAGGGGGCAGCTGCCTCCACTCAACCCCACCCAACCCCATTATATATATATATATAATTTAATTTGTGTACAAATATCACTGTGAGCGATATTTACAGTATAAAAATATTTAAAATCCGAAGGTTTCTAAATGAATGCCTTAGTCCACTGGCATTTTCTAAATGAATGCCGTACATTTTTAGCCACTTTAACGGTTTTAAATTTGTCCAAATGTAAAATTAATTTTTTTGAATGCAACTAATAAGTGATATGTAATTTCATTAACATCTTTTCTTAATATTAAAACTTAATTATTTATAAGAGAAATCACTTATAATTACATATTTTTTATTTTTTATTTAATAAAGTATAGAATGTCTAAACATAAGATCCAAATTAGTTTAAAATAATTTATTTTGATGTAACTAATAAATTGTATGTAATTTCAATGGCATCTCACTTAATATTAAAATACACTTGTTTATTCGTAACTTAAATTAGTTAAAAACTTATGATTACATATTTTATCCGTTTCTTATAAAAAAAATAGTATTTATTTTTAAGAGAAAATTGGGCGGATGTGCATAATTAAATATGTGTGCTTAAGTTAATATCGTGGATTAGCAAAAATTAGGTAGATAGCATTTATCCATTAGGCAGTTTCTTTATCTGTTAAAGATCTCTTATTAGTCCGAAATTATTTCCTTCCAATATCATAAATGGATCATGCCTCTCTATGAAGCAAGCAGTGATTCCCTTGTAGTTCACATCCAACTTCTGTTTGAATGATTGGAGTCAACGAATGTCTAATTATTATTGATCCAACTAGATGTGATCCTTTCAAAAAAAACTATTATGATGTGATATTATAAAAGGCTTGTATTTGCAATCACAATTAGGAAGTTTATATATCGTACTATACTACTATGGTAGTTAATATTTGATGGATTTTTATATTAACCGAAACAAGTGTTATGTACTTCATTAATTAAAATAGAGGCTATTAACTTCAAGTGGCGTATTTTTTTAGGTTATATAGCATTTTCCCCCCTTTTCTTAATTAATACTATTGTATTTATTTTCTAAAAAATTTGTGATAATGTTAGTGTAAACTTGCCCCCACTAAACAAAATTATTGGATACGCCAGTGACTATATTCACACATTTTATGATGATCGATCACAAGTCCCCAAGTAGAATTATCAGCACAATGGAATAAAATACTCTGTATTAAGTTAATTAAAAGCTCCACTCCTCCAAAATGAAGTATCCCCACTAGCAGGATTATTAAGCCAAACATATCCTATCTAGGCCTGTCAATGGGTCGGGTCCGGGCCGGAACGTAGTGTTCCAGACCCAGACCCGCTAAGTTAAAAATGGATTCGGACCCGACCCGTTTACCCAGTGGGTCTGGAAATTTGAACCCAGACCCATACCCAACGGGTCTCGGAACCGGGTCGGGTAGACCCGGACCCATTCTAGACTTTGTCAAAATAACAAGGCCTGTAAATAAAATTTAAAACAAAGTGTGCAAATTTAAAAGCAAAATATATCTTAAATATACAAAAAAATAAGATTTCTCATAGAAAATTAATACTTTTATCCAGTAAAGTATCGGTTCTTGTAGAGACGTATAACTACACACTCTGTGCCGCTTTTTCTCGCACAAAAAGCTAGTAAAATAAACTAGAAATTAAGTCACAAAAATGTATCTTGGACTACTGAGAGTAATAACATACGGAGTATTATATACGATAATGATATAATAATATTGTCAATAATAATAATAAATATTATGCTTTGCCTACCAAGCCTAATACACACTTTATCAGTATGTATAAACGACCAAAATGGATATTAGTTTTAGGTTATCTCACTATCCCTTATACAGTAGGTATGTATTAGTGTGTATATTTTTAATTGAAAAAATAGGGGTATTTAGTGTTTGCACCCTGTTTTATGTGATGAATTGGACTATGCACCCTAAATTTAAAATCTTTAGTCTTTGCACCCTAACTTAAATGTTTCTGTTAGTTAGACTACTACAAATTCGAAAATGCCAACAATGCCCTTTACACATAATAAGAATGCAACAGATCCATATAAAAAGCTTTTGTCAACATATACACGGTCAAGGTGGTTGTCTGCTTCTCACCACCTTACTTCTCAGCTTGTGGCTGCCTTTCGTAGCTCCTTTAGTCGCCCCAACCCCCCACACCATGGAAATCCTGTCAAGATATCTTCTTTTTACTTTGATGAAATTATCCAGATTATCTCGATCAATGCTGATGGAAAAAAACTATGATAA